ATCAATGATTCTCTCATCATGATATGTCTCTCTCTCCCCATCTCCATCGCCTCTAAAATAATATTTTAAAAAGTATTTTTAAAAAATAAAAGAATATAATCTTAAATCTCTTCTATAAGACAAGCAACATTAAAGACAATGTGATATCAACTTATGTGGGTACATGGATAGAATTGGCAATCAGCAGAGATTTGTAAGCAGTTGACACTATGAGTTTAAGGTGCACTGTTATAACCTTAAGGTATTTTTTTTTTTTTTTAATCCTTGCGCCGGTTTATTCACTGGGCGGCTAAACCGGCGTCAGGCACCAACCACCTGTCTTTGAGGCCCTCCCCACCCGCCCCCTCCTCCCACCTCCGCCATATCCACCTACCCCACCCACCCACCCCCAACTCCTAGCAAGAAGAAATTCTTGATCACAATAAGCTCGGCTTAAGGTATTTTAAGTAATTCCCATGGTCAAAACAAAAAATAGGAAATAAATAAAATGATCTCTGCTAACACGTAACAGAATTCTATATTGCAAATCACAGACTCCACATTTCTAAAAACATATATACATATGAATATAGAGATAAATAAATATATAATTGATTTCTCAAAACATGGTATATAGAACCAAACAATGAAGTTAGCTGTGTCCTTGTATAGGAACAGAATTTAATATAGAATAACAAATTAATTATGTATTTGCATGATTACCAGCATAACGGAAAATAAAATATTAACAGTTTACTTCCTAAGAAGGTGCATGACTTCTATGCTGTAAAGTATAAAATACTAGTAGCTGCCCTCTGCAGTGTGTCTCCTTGGTTAGAGCATGGGGCCACCCACCAAATGGTTGCAGGTTCAATTTCAACCCCGTTTGGGACTTGTGAGAAGCGAAACAATGTGTCTCTCTCACCATCGATATTTCATTCCCTATCTCTATTTCTATCTCTATCGCCCTCTCCCTCTCTTTAAAACTAAATGGAAAAAAAAAAAACCAAGGCGTGAAGATTAACAAAAGAAAACATATACACACACATTGACGGCTATAATTAAAGAACAAATCACTAAGTTGGAAAACACATTCCATGACCCTACTCTGAAATGCTAACAGTATCAGCTGTCATTAGTACCCAAAGTAACCTAAACATTCAAAGCAATCCCTATCAAAGTCCCAATGACACTTTTGGTGGAAATAGAAAAGCTCTTTCTACAATTCATGTGAATGTCACAGGGCTCTGTGTAACCAAGTCAATAGTGAAAAGAATGTATGAAATTAAAGGCTTCAGGCTTCCTGGTTTTAAAACATACTTCAATGCTTCTGTTATCAAAAAAAACCCTCTAATACAGCTTTAGCCAGTTTGGTTCAGGAGATAGAGCACCAGCCTGTGAACTGAAGGTTCCCAGGTTCAATTAAGGTCAAGGGCACATGCCAGGGTTGCCAGCTTGATCCCCACTAGGGAACGTATAGAAGGCAGCCTATCAGTGATTCTCTCTCATCACTGATATTTCTATCTTTCCCTCTACCTTCCTCTCTGAAATTAATAAAAAATATATATATAAACAAAGAAATAAAAAACCTGCAATACAGACATTAAGAGAAATAATGAAGCAAGGTAGAATAAAAGGCCTACATAGACATGCTCCTGGAAAGGTCTTAAGATCTTCACCCAGGGTGCCTAAACCACAGATAAGAAAAGGATATTCTTTCCTTACCCAGTAGCTCAGTTGTTTAGAGTGTGGTCCTCATACCAAAACATTGCAGTTTTGATCTGTGCTCAGGGCACATTAAAAAGTAACCAATGAATGCATAACTAAGTGGGGAAGTAAATGTATCTCTCTCTCTCTCTGTGTGTCTCTCTCTTCCCCACTCCCCCCGCCCGCTCTCGCCCCATGGCTCTCTTCCTCTAAAACCAATAAAAATATACAGTAGTGCTGGGTGTCTTTAAAGAACTCAATAAATGAACTACACATGCAACCTTAAATTGGAATGTTAACAGTATAAGCTGTCACCAGTACCCAAGGTTGACATAAACATTCAAAGCAGTCACTATCCACGTCTCAATATCACTTTTCACAAAATTAGCAAACCTCAGCCTAAAATTGATATGAAATGACACAGGACACCAGGGAACCAAAACTAACATGAGAGACACCGTATAACCTTAAAGGCATCATGCTTCATTATTTTAAAAAAATATTTCCAAACTGGTGTCATCCAAAAGTATCATCTACACATTAAGACACAGGTAAATAAAGGAGCACGGTAGGCCCTGGCCAGTGTGGCTCAGGGTTAGAGCATCATCCTGTGCACGTAAGGGTGGCAGGTTCAAATCCCCTTAAAGGGCACATACCTTGGCTACAAACTGCCACCCAACCTGGGTTGAGGCTTGAGTAGAAGGAGGCCAGTCGATGTGTCTCTCTCACATGAATGTTTCCCTCTCTCTCCCCCCTCCTTGCTCCCACCCTTCCACTCTCTCTGAAAAGCAATGGAAAAAATGTCCTCATGTGAGGATTAACAACAACTACAAAAAAGAAGCACTGTAGAACAAAGAGCCTCCGTACAACTTCTCACCCATGAGGTAAAATAATCTCCTACAAGGGTGCTTATACCACCAAAGAAGTAAAGCAGATTCTCACACATACGAATAGTGTTGACATACTTAGATGTCTACGTGTAAAAGAATGAGTGAAGTTGGACTGTAATTAAACACCACATACAAATATTAAACCAAAATGTATTAAAGATTGAAACATAAAGCTAATATGTCAATCTATTAAATGACAAGTTACAGAAACGTTTTTGTTTTCAAATATATTTTTATTGATTTCAGAGAGGAAGGGAGAAGGAAAGAGAGATAGAAACATTAAGATATTCACTGAATGGCTGCCTCCTGCATGGCTCCTACTGGAGATGGAGCCTGCAACCTGCTCATGTGCCCTTCATCAGATTCCAATATAGGACTCTTCTGTCCACAGGCTGACACTATCCACTGAGGCCATCTGGCTAGGCCATAAAGAAAAGAAAAGTTTTTATGATATTTGATTTTTTATTCTAGCACTAAGAAGAAAGGTAAACAAAGCATAATAGTCAAAAAGCATTAAACCCCATACAAAAATAACTTCACATTAAAGGAAATTGTCAGTGCGTTCAAAATACAAGCAGGGAAATGGGAAAAAAGGTCTCCAAAGCATATTATTTGATAAGTAGTTAATATCTATAACATATACAGATCTTTTACAAGTCAACATGAAAAAAGAAGTAACACAACTTTTAAAATGTCCAAAGCTATATGGTTAACTAATGTGTAGGATAGAAGGCAAGAACACACAATATGGAAAGACAGATTCTTCACTAAGTAATGTAACAAAAACGGAAGAGATACATGCAAAAATTATAAAACTAGACTGTGTTCATAGGCCATGAACCATAATGAAATCAGAATGGATTAACATCTAAAATTTGAGACCTGAAGCCAAGGAAAACATTGGAAGAAATCATAGTCAATGAACTTTACCATCACTCTGAAAAATACTGGTTTGTATGTATCTTTTCCGGCATAACAAAAAAGCTAAAAAATAAAGAAATGAGACTACAAAAAAATAAGTTTGGCATTCCAAAGAAACCACTGAGAAACAGCAACAACAAAAGCCTAGCAATGTTACATCCTCAAAAGCTAAAGATCCAAAATATATAAGGAAGTCACACAACTTACCTCCAAAAAGACAATATGATGGAAAAATGTGCAGAGGACCTGTACAGACATTTTCCAAACAGGATATAAAGATTTCCAATGGAAATGTTAAATGATGTTCAACTCATTCATCATCAGAGAAATGTAAATGGGCACCACCATCATATACCAACAAACACCTAACAAGATGTCAATCATCCATAAATCAATAAAAAATGAAAAGTATTACCAATTAAGTGGAGAAATGAGAACACTGATGCACGTCAACAAGATTATGAACACACTGGTGCAGCCACTAAGAAAACACAATGAGCCGAAACCGGTTTGGCTCAGTGGATAGAGCGTCGGCCTGCGGACTGAAAGGTCCCAACTCATTCATCATCAGAGAAATGTAAATGGGCACCACCATCATATACCAACAAACACCTAACACGAGGCAGCTGATCGATGTTTCTCTCTCATCGATGTTTCTAACTCTCTATCTCTCTCCCTTCCTCTCTGTAAAAAAATCAAAACAAGATTATGAACACACTGGTGCAGCCACTAAGAAAACACAATGATTTTCCAATATTTACTAAAGGTACCAGGAAACCAGTGATTCCATATCTGGCAATTTATACAGAGAACACATATGGTCAGGGCACATATAAAAAAAAATCAATTAATGCCCAGCTGAAGTTTCTATCTCTCTCTAACTCGCCCTTCCTCCCTGAATTCAACAAATTCTTTAAAAATCAAAAAATAAAAGAAAATGGAATGTGAATTTTCATAGAGGCTTTCCCATTTCCAATCCAAACTGTCCTCTGGCCAGAAGACATGGTAGAATATTACAATATTCTAGAAAATGATTTTCTAAAATATTCTTTTCTGATAGTACCTCAGTAAGTGTAGACAACATATAATGTGTGCAAACACTGAGTTCTTAATTCACATAGATCAAAAAGCCTTTCTTTTATATCCCAAGGACCCTCAATTTGTTCCTTTTTTTAAAAATGTATTTTTTTTATTGGTTTCAGATGGCAATGGAGAGGGAGAGAAAGAGAAAAATCAATGATGAGAATCACTGATAGGATATCTCCTGCACGCACCCACTAGGGAGCGAGCCAGCAACCCTGGCATTGGCCCTGACCAGAATCAAACCTAGGACCTTTAAGTCTGCAGACCAGAGTTCTATCCACTGAGCCAAACGAGCTAGAGCTCAATTTGTTCCTTGAGAGCAAGCATCTAACACAGAAAACAGAAGCCCCTAGAGATGTTAAAATAATAAAGGAAAACCCTGCGGGTGGAGTAGGAACTCGGGAAGGAAGTCATCCTCACCCAGGGAGGCCAGGTTGCTGCAGTTCTCCACCATCACCTCCAGGTACAATTTCCGCTGAGCTGGGTCCAGGCATTCCCACTCCTCCTGAGAGAAATGTATGGCCACATCCCTGAAGGTCAAAGGTCCCTGAAAGAAAATAAATATTTACCAAGAGGTCACCAGAAGAGTTCATAATGTTATGCAACCTTAAAACAGTCTTAGGAGAAGAGGTTGGGACCTACAGGAGTATCCTGACTCACCCATAAGATCACTTTGGCCAGTAACTTTCCTTGATATGATTTCAAACACTGACAAATGAGGATGACATATGTCCACAAATCCTAGATATAGATTTACGTTTACAGGAAAAAAACTTTAAAATTAAGGTAAAGCCCTGGCTAGTTTGTCTCAGTGGATACAGTGTCGGACTAGGCACTTAAGAGTCCCAGCCTGCAGACTGAAGGATCCCAAGTTCGATTCCGGTCAAGGGCATGTGCCTTGGTTGCGGGCAAATCCCCAGTGGGGGGTCTGCAAGAGACAGCTGATCGATGTTTCTCTCTCGTTGATGTTTGTAACTCTCTATCCCTCTTCCTTCCTCTTGGTAAAAAATCAATAAAATACATTTTTTTTAAAAAAGAGTCCCGGGATTGCCCTAGCCGGTTTGGCTCAGTAAATGGAATGTCAGCCTTTGGACCAAAGGGTCCCGGGTTCGATCCCGGTCAAGGACACTTGCCTTGGTTGCAGGCTCCTTGGGCCCTGGCTCTGGTCGGAGGCAACCAATCGATGTGTTTCTCTCACATCCATGTTTCTATCTGTATTTCCCTCTCTCTTCCACTCTCCCTAAAAATGAATGGAAAAATATCGGACGAGGATTAATAAATACAATAAAATAACATAAAAACTAGTAAAAAAAGAAGAGTCGCGGGATTAATTCTTGTTGCTCCAGTAGGGGGTGTGCAGGAGGCAGCCAATCAATAATTCTTTCTCATCACTGATGTTTCTCTCTCTCTCTCTCTCTCTCCTTTATTCTCAAATATCAAGAAAAATATTTTTTAAATAAATAAAAAATAAAATAGTGGTATGGACACAGGCATATAGATTTCTGAATGGTGTGTTTGCATTGCTCAGGGTCAGTGGTGTATATTTTTCAGCTGGAAATGTCAGGCTCGCTTGGAAGTATATGGATTTCTTCTCAAGTGTGAAGTAGACCACAATGAAATGAACTTCTGTACAGGCACAGATTCGGATCCAGGTTCTGAGATGGGGCCTGTGTTTTCCACGTGTCACAAGATCACTTTTTACTTGTGATGCCAATGTTTGTGCATCATGTGCCATACATTTGAATACTCAGAAAAAGAAAACACAAGAAAAAATTCATATGGAACTTTGAACTAAAAAGATTTGTTAATGGAATTCAGTTCTCATGGAATAGGACACGTAGGAACTACAATCCTATTTAGAAACATACTATGAATAATCTTAAAACAAGTTTATTCTGCCTGGTCCAGCTGGTGTTGCTCAGTGGTTGAGCACTGACCCGTGCACCAGGAGGTCAATGGTTACATTCTTGGTCTGGGCACATGACCAGGTTGTGGGCTCAATCCCCAGTGTTGGGTGTGCAGGAGGCAGCCAATCAATATTGCTCTCTCATCATTGATATTTCTATCTCTCTCTACCTCTACCTTCATTTCTGAAATAGATAAAAATTACTTGAGAAAAAAAAAGAAAAAATAGCTGAAATAATGTTAATAGTTAAAGCACAGCCGAAACCGGTTTGGCTCAGTGGATAGAGCGACGGCCTGTGGACTGAAAGGTCCCAGGTTCGATTCCGGTCAAGGGCATGTACTTGGGTTGCGGGCACATCCCCAGTAGGGGGTGTGCAGGAGGCAGCTGATCGATGTTTCTCTCTCATCGATGTTTCTAACTCTCTATCTCTCTCCCTTCCTCTCTGTAAAAAATCAATAAAATACATTTAAAAAAAAAAAAATAATAGTTAAAGCACAGAGACACACATTTTACAACTATGAAATCAAGATGGTTTAGTGGCCCGGTGCATGAAATTCGTGCACATTAAAAGGAAATTAGAGGAAATATTTTAATATTGCTATTTGCCGTTTCTGTGTAACAGAAGTGTCCAGCTGGACCCACCTCCAATGGGCAACACCAAGACCCAGCCGGCCCCACCCAAGTCAAGCCCTGCCTGGTGGGGGATCCAGCCTCCCATCCTGGTGCTGGGGCAGGGGGGCGCGGCCTCAGGGGGACCCCCAACCTTGCCGCGACATCGGGACCCGCCTCCACGACTCCACACAAAAGCAGCCTCCTGGTGATGGATTGTGACGGCGTGAGGGCATCACAGCGTGATGGCATGAGGGCGTGAAGACCATTTGAATATTAGCTCTTTATTATATAGGATAAGGAGAGAAACATAACATACAAAACAAGTTAAACCTAGTTTCCTTTTTGTGGTTGTAAATCCTCACGTGGGGAGATTTTTTTCCATTGAGTTTTCGAGAGTGAAGGCAGGGAGGTAGAGGGATGAAAAGGACAGAGAGAGAGAGACAGAGACAGAGAGAGAGAGAGAGAGAGAGAGAGAGAGAGAGAGAGAGAGACATACATCGCTGCCTACCACAGATTCCCAGTACACGGATTGGCTGCCTACCACAGATTCCCAGGAACTCCTTGATTCACACCAGCCTGGGGGAACTAATTTTTCTTATCAGTACAATTCTTTCAAAAAAATTTTTTTAAAATATATTTTATTGATTTTTTACAGAGAAGAAGGGAGAGGGATAGAGAGTTAGAAACATCGATGAGAGAGAAACATTGATCAGCTGCCTCCTGCACACCCCCGACTGGGGATGTGCCTGCAACCAAGGTACATGCCCTTGACCAGAATCGAACCTGAGACGCTTCAGTCTGCAGGCCGACGCTCTATCCACTGAGCCAAACCGGTTAGGGCTCTTTCAAAATTTTTACGTATCATTAGTGGAGAGCTATTTCATAGAAATTTAATGAAATTAAACATACATTAATAATACCATTCTTGGAAACTTCCTAGAAAATACAAAAAATGATCATATAGGGTATGTCCATGATGAGAGTATGGAATATAATGAAAATTTAAAGAATCAAACCTGATTAGTTACAGCTCCCATGCAAAAGCCAATGATCTGTAGGAAATAAAAATAAGTCCTTCATTTTCCAAAGGAAACGCAAACTAAGAAAAGGGACATTTCCAGATGTGAAGTGATGGTCTTTGTACAAATTTCATTAAATCGCTATTATACCCTTGTTCCTGAGAAGGTCAGGTCACCACTGCTGTGACATTACTCCCAAATATACCTCAATAAAGAAAGAATTATGTGGAAATGATCACAAATAAACATTAATTTTTGCAAGTGTCAATCCACAGGTACCTCTCATGTTCTGTAAGCTAACAGAATATTTACCTAAGTATTTCGTACTGATCTAGTGAGCAAGACACTTTTACTTACTATTTACTCTTCTTTCTGAACTTTCTGAGCTATGCTGAGCAGTAAAATGTGCATTTTCTTACCCTTGATCACGAGCTGATGCTGCAGCCACTTGAATCTAAAACCTGCCTTTCCCTTCTTCAAGACACAAGAGCCTCTGACCCCATCCCAATAGGGATGTTAGACATGCCTGCCTTTCCAGGTGGATCTGTCACAAAAGGGATGTTCTGAGTAGTTGAAAGTCGTTAATTAAAGGTGGGAATGCTTCCTGACCTTGGGGAGGCTGCATACAATGAAGGCAGAGAAGGCTCTGGGACAAAGGAGAAATACAGCCCGGCCCGTGAGGCTCAGAGATAGAGTGTTGACCTCTGAACCAGGAGGGCAGGGTTCCATTCCTGGTCAGGGCACACTCCAGGTTTCAGACTGGATACCCAGTGGGGGGAATGCAGTAGGCCGCTGATCAATGATTGTCTCTGCTCATTGATGTTTCTCTCTCTCTCTCCCCCTATCCCTTACATTCTGTAATCAATTAAAACATACATTAAAAAAGAGAGAGGGAAATATAGAAACCGCTGACACTGACTATCATAAGAAAAAAGGAAAAAGGCCCTGACCTGTTTGGCTCAGTGGATAGAGTGTCTGCCTGCGGACTGAAGGGTCCCCGGTTCGATTCTGGTCCAGGGCATATACCTTGGTTATGGGCACATCCCCAGTAGGAGGTGTGCAGGAGGCAGCTGATCGATATTTCTCTCTCATCGATGTTTCTAACTCTCTATCCCTCACCCTTCCTCTTTGTAAAAAATCAAGAAAATATATTTG